AGTCTATGTCTTTTTTCCATCCAGGTCACCAATAGCCCAGGGGTGGCAGAGGCACCACGGGCCATTCCTTTACTGTTTCCAGGGCGGCCCTACGCATCAGATCTAAGTACCCCGCGGGCCGGATCCAGCGCATGGGCCTTGAGTTTGACAGCCCTGATGTACTGGATCCCCTGCATGGATTGACCCAGTGACTGTATAGGACTGATGGGGAGGAAGCTAATCACCAGATTGCAAGAACACAAGCGAGCAGTCAGACGAGAACTGAACTCATTGGTAGCCTCACATTGCAATAAATAAGGACAATACATTCAATTTTGCAGCTATTAAGATTGTTGGATGTACAGATACAAAACAGTCAGGGAAGTGATTGAATCCAGAGAAACAGAGTCCCCCATTTGTCAAGTGGAGTGTTGATTTACCATCAGCTTATGAAGTATTTAGGAGCTGAGGACTTGGCAGTACAATGAAACAACAGCTAATGACTTAATAGCTGGCCATCAAAACCCAACCAACAACTAAAAAGCCACAATCAGGCATCATATAAATACACAGAACAGCCCAAAGCACACTTTGCTAGAGAAAAGTCCCCTGAGGATAGGCTCCATCATGCATTTGAAAACTCAGAAGACTAAGCCTCTTGTTCCAGTGATCAAATCAGACTGGATCCTGCAATTAATTGGTCCCCTGTATTCCTCTCTGGATGAAGGCGTGGACTTGGCTTACCTACAGAGCTCCATAGATGATGAGACCAAAGCAAATCAATGTCAGATTTCAAAGCTCAGGGAGCCAGAACAACCAGTTTTGGCAAAGCTGCAGTTCAGGGCTTTCAAAGAGACACTGGGTTTGCCAGTGATTCCTTTCTGAATCACTTTCCTTTGCCTTATGAATTGCTTTTATGCATTTACATATGCTTTTTGAATATTAATAAACTTTAGAAGAACATGTTTTATTACACTGGGTATTTTCCTCCAATCCATAGTGAAAGAATTTTTAATGACAATAACAAAGATGTTACATTGGATTTTAATATTTTAATAGTTAAAAGGGCCACACAAATGATAAAGTAGAAAAGTAACTTGGAGGTGTAGATTTTAACTCTAAGTGACTTGGACAATTTTCCTACTTTGTATTTACAAAAGAGATATTTTATAGTTATGATGGAATTCCTGAAAAGAGATAAAGAAATGTTTTGGGATATTATCTAAAAAATAAACATCAATATCTTTAAAAGTGATACTTCCATTGAAGACATGGCTGGCGGCTGACATGCCCAGAGAATCTTCTCTCTCTGGATTGTTGTTTTTCCAACTCAAAAACAAAAGGAGCAGGCTTTTTTTTGTCTGTTTAACTTTGCGAGGTTAAGGAAAGTTCCAGAATCATCCCTCAAGATCCTCCGATAATAGCAACAGCCTGCAAGCAGTTTTAGAAGCTGACTCTTCGAAGATTTCCTGATCCTGCCTTTCTTGCCACCAAGATGGCAGTGCGTTCACATGCAGCGGCCCTGAGCTTATTATTAGTTGTATAACTTATTATTAGGTTATTAGTGTGTGGTGTTTGGAAGGATGGGTGTATAGATGTGTGCACAGTGTAGAGCAAGGAGCAAAAATTGCCTACACGCGTGTAGAGCTGCTAAACATCAGGCTCGCAAGTCAATCTGGGATTACCAGTGATTTTCAGCAGACCCACAACATACTGAACTGCATAGTGAGGCTTCCAGAATCTCCATGGATTTTTGTCGGGTCGGGGAAGTGCTGACGAAAGTGAAAGCAGAAACAAAAGCACGGCTGGAGAGCTGGTCTGTTGGCTCAGCTTTGAAAGCAGCCCCATAGACTAGTGCTGCCAAATGTCTTTTTGAGCAATGCCAGATCCATCGTCCACAAAATTGATGAATTAGAGCTGCGGATGGCAGCAAGCAGGCTTCTCCGCGAAAGCTGTGTGATGATTGTAACAGAGACCTGGCTACACCCAGCTATACCTGATGCGGCAGTGGAGTTGACAAGCCAAGTCATTTATCGCTCTGATAGAAATGGTGACTCTGGTAAGAGCAAGGGAGGAGGACTCTGTATTTATATACACATATATACATTTATATACCGGTGTGTTAACAGCAGAGTTGTTTATACATATTACTCCCCAGATGTGCAACTGATGACTGTCACATGTAGGCCATTTTATTTGCCTGGAGAAAACTCTGTGATAATTATTATAGCTGTTTATATTCCACCTGATGCCAATGTCAGCGCAGCACTTTCTAAGCTATATGACGTCATCTCCAGGCAGCAGCAAACTCACACAGAGGGCGCTCTTGTTGTCGCTGGGGACTTCAATCAAGCCTGTTTAAATACAGTTCTCCTTAAGTTTGTGCAGTAAGTGCAATTTTCCACCAGAGGGAAGAACACTTTAGACTGTGTGTACTCTAACCTGAAACAGGCATGTAAAGTAATCCCCCTCCCCCACCTGGGTACCTCTGACCATCTTTCACTTCTGTCATGCCTGAAGCATATTCCTCTCAGGAAAAGAACTCAGCCAGTTATGGAAATGGTTAAAATCTGGCCAGAGGGTGCTCAGTCAGCTGCAGGACTGTTTTGAAACCATTGAGTGGAGTGAACATCAAGACCTGCATGAATACACTGATGCTGTACTCTCTTACATCAAAGTGTGCACCGACAATGTAACAACGGACAAGTGCATCAGAGTCTATGGGAATTGTAAATCCTGGATGACTGCCGAGATACGGACACTTCTGAGAGCCCAGGATTCTGCCTTTAAGGCAGGAAACAGGGATATATGTAGAGAGGTCAGGGCAAACCTTAGAAGAGGCATTAAGACGGCAAAACAACAATACAAATATAAGGTAGAGAACCACCTAGCAGATAACCTGAAGCAAGTGTGGCAGGGACTGCAGCACCTAACTAATTATAAGGGCAACACGAGAAACACGGTCAATGCTGACGCCTCATTGGTAGAGGAGTTGAACACCATCTTTGCCTACTACGACGTGAAAAGACCAGGCGATTAGGGAATGGACTTACTATATCTAAGAGGAAAATAACTTGAACTGGACTGGGAAAATAGATTGACAACAGAGGTTTATCATTTTAGGGAATAAGACACAATTGTTGGGAAAGTTTTCTATCAAAATTTTGAGAAGTTTTATTATTAAGAATCAAGCTAGGGTATTTCTTTCTGGATGGATCAGAGATAATGATTGTAGTGGTTTATGGTAGATAAAAAGCTGTTGTAGACTTTCTACCAGTTAAATATAATAGATTGTTAACAGAGGACTTTGAAGTTTTAACTTTGCTGTTGATTCACCTGTTATCTTTGTCTTTTTATATGTAGCAGATTTATATGGCAGGTCAAATTGGTTGCATATAGAGGTACAAGTTTATACATTTTGCACCTGCTTCACAAGGGGTGTGTGTGTGGAAATTAACATTGTTAATTAACATTTAACATTGTTCTAATATATCAGTTCAACAACTGATTTTTTTGCCTTTCATTTTTTTAATGCACATTTTTTTCTTTTTAAATGTTTTATCTATCTTCATTTTGTTTTTGTAATTTTCCCCCTCTTTTGGGAGGTTGTATTTTGTATTTTACCTTAATTGGTCAGTTTTTAAAAATAAAGGATAAAATATAGTTTACAACTCACTGTGACTGGATTTATACATTCTGACAAACTGAAGCATACAACTTCTGCATGGCTCAATCTCCAGGTATGTCAGCCTACTTCTGTATCTAGGCCAGTGACCTTTCAGTGACCGTTTAGCTCTGTCTAAAGCAGTGTTTCTCAATCTTAGCAACTTTTAAGATTTCAGATCTCAGAATTCCCCAGTTTTCTCCTGCTGGCTAGGGAATTCTGGGAGTTGAATATTGGTCTAAAGAGTACTTTTTTGTTGTTTCAGCTTTAGCCCAGTTCAGTACATGTGCTAGCAAAATTAACTTGGAAAAATTATGCTGACAATGTATCCTGGAGCTGCATCTTTAATGAAAATCAATACAGCTAAAAACTCTCTATAAAATTTAGTTTGAGGATTTAAATCAATAAATGCAGACCCTTACTAGACGACTATCCCAAATATAAGTTGTATAGGTTCCAAAAGAGGACCTGAAATAAGCCTCTTAAGAATTGATAGGATGTTTTTGGTTGGATTTAACTGAACATAGGCTCACACTGGTGAATCATAGCATCTGGCAAATTGTTTTTATTTCAAAATCCTAACTATACAATTGTTCCACATAAATAGAATTTATACTTCTGTTGTCCCTTTTGAATTAATTACTTATACTCTGTGTGTATTGGAAGTAAATGTTTGGCATTAATTAATCTACATATATAAAAGCGAAATATCACTCACGCATCATCACAAAATTTCCAGAACCATAAATCCTACAAAAATTTGGCATGTATGTTCCACTTGGCTTCTAGGTGCTCATTAAGAAAGGATTTTTCAAAATGACCATCAGAACATTATTATTTCGTATATTATTATTAACACGCTCTAATGCTGAGGAGTTCTACTATCCCTCCCCACCTGAAAAGAAATCTGCTCCAAATGCAAAATACAAGCAGAGGAGAGGAGTTTCAGTTTTAGTTTCATAGCAGAAAGCAGCTTTAGTACAGAACAGTTGAGCTAAGCCACACCCAGGCTCCTTGCTGTCTCCTTGCTCACATAGCAAATACTGTTTTCAGTTTCCAAACAGCCCTCAACTCTCTCACATACTGACAGAACGCTAACCAGATGAATACCGATGGATGCTGGTAGGCAGAGGCAGAATTTTTTCCCCTTATTTTCCTCCCAAAAAACTAAGCCCGACCACATAGTTTCATAGCGAAGCATGGGGATCGAGCTAGTATAGCATAAGAGTAGCTATTGGTAGATTGCACTGAAGAGTCTAATTGTTATATTTGAACTGATTCATTAGTAAAATTTATTTTGATTATATTGATGTAACAATCTGAATACACTATTAAAACACTGTTTTACTTTTTACAGATGATGTGATGCAGACCACCTACTGTGAAATAGATTTAGATAAACAAACAAGAGATGCATTTGTTTATGCTATCAAAAATCACTATTGGTATCAGATGTACATTGATGACTTGCCAATATGGGGTAAGAAATGTATGCCTACAATGCACAGAACTACAACTTTTGTATTGAAAAAAAGCTATGTTTATTCCAAATCATAGTTCAATGATTGTTTAATAAATCATGTTTGACTGAGTTCACATAAATGTCATAAGCCAAACTAAGTGTCTTATGATATAGCACAATGTATGAACTAGCATCATCATGAGGGTGAGGGTTCATTCTCCGAGCTTGTGGGTTGGTTTCATTACTAGACTAGATAACATCTTCAGTGGAGTTTAACTATATATTTATTTTATTTGGTGAATTTATTAAACCTAACCTGTCTCTTTTTCAGGTTTATTTGTAAGCCAAATGGTTCTCCTGCTTTGTCCAGCTCTTGTATGCGTCTTTGTAACTCTTGTGGGTCTTGTGAAGCGAATGTCATCTGCAAATCTTAAGTTATTTAAATAGGGGATTTTTATTCCATCTTTTGTAAGTTTATGTAAGCAGTGTCTATTTGCCCTTGTTTTTCATATGTTGATTGTAAGTTTATGTAAGCAGTGTTTACACCTTCATTGAGGAATGCATTGATTATTGCTTGCTGGAGTACTGAATACTCAAACACCTTTTTGTAGTCAATGAAAGCTATGCACAGATGTATGATGCACTCATTGTGCATTCAGTGACTTGCTGAACAACCTGGATGTGATCCATTGTGCTGTAACCACTTCTGAACCCTGCCTGTTCCTTTGGCTGTGCATCATTTAATGTTCTCAATATTCTTTTTGCTATTATCTTGGTGAAAACCTTGTAGATGACTGAAAGAAGGCTTTTTGGGTGATAGTTCTTTAAATCATTTTGGAGCCATTTCTTGTGTATATGAATCCCTTCAATATTTTCCATGCATCGGGTATTTTTTCTTCTCCAAAGCATCTTGAGTATAGTTTTGCTCAGACATCTTCCCAGAATTGATTCTTCCTGCAGAGCTATGCAATTTCTCCTCCACTGTGCTTTCCCAATGATACATGGGGTTGTTGAAAAGATTTTAGGTTAGGAGAGGCTTCCGGCAGTGATGCCTTGGTGAAAGGGTGAAGGGAGAGCGGTCTCCGTCTCTGGATCTCATTTTTTCACTTTTGGGGACCTTTCCGGGCGGGAGGAACCTGGAGAGCCAAGCAGAAAAGAAGGGAAGCCCGGAAGACAGCGAGGAGAAATGTGATCGCCAGCTGGCAAGAAGGGAAACCCCTGAAAATCCGAAGTGAAAGTATCTGTCATTTTATTATGGCAGACCCGAGGCCATGGCTGAACTGTGAATGAGGAGGAAGTGAGAAGATTATCAACAGAAAGTGTCATTGAAGTTAAAATCCCAAAGTTGCAACTGTGATGATTTGCCAAAAGTAAGTTTGAACTTGTTTCCGAGGAAAAAAGAGCTCCAGTGAGGGGGGATAACCCCATAGTACAGGCGGCGAGACAGTAAGAAAGAGCTGTGATTCAGCACTTTTTACAAACGGAAAGAGACTGAAGGAGAGGGGGTATAAGTTGGAAGTGAATAGTTCTAGGAAGCTGAAAGGTGGAGATTGAAATAAGACGAGAACTGGTGGGGGAAGAAGAAAATCCAGGGAAGCCAGAGGAGGAGGTGGTGAAAAGAAGGTGATAAGGGAGAGACGATTGACTTCTCTCTGCTTCTTGGACGGAGGGTGATTACGAAAGCAACATGGCGAGTGGAGAAGGAGAAAGTGAAATTCGATCGGGCCGTGAGAGCGATACGAAGGAAAGAAAAGAGAGGAGTGACTGAGCAATTTTCAAGCGGAAAGAGATGGCAGGACAGTAATGGGAGTGGAGAAGAAGGCAATTTGGCAGAAAGTGGGCTGAAAGAGATGACGAAGGAGGATTGGAAAGAAACGGAGAAGATACGAGTGGAGTCATAAAGAGAGAGACTTGGAGGGAGTAGTAGAAAGACAAAGCGGATGAGAGGAGAGTGGAAAACAGTTTGGACTGAGACGGTGAGATTGCAGAGAAAAGGAAAGGAAATCTTTGAGTGAGGTGTATGAACTGTAAACTTTAAAGATAACAAAATAGGCTGGTATTGAAATATAAGTTTGACTTATATGATTAAATGATCTGTATGACTTGTATGATTTGAATGTATTTGTCTATAGAGCACTGTCTTGAGATTGTGGGTATAAGAAATCAAAAAGAAGGCTTTCTCCTTTAATTTGAAATAACTTGACTAAATAACTTGACTATAGTTATCTTGACTAAATAGGATTATTGGGTTAATGAACGTAGTGATAAGAGTTTAAGAAGAATATATATTGTTGTGAGTATAGAGAATCTAAACTTTGACCCCTCTTTTATTGTATAAAGGAGAAACTACAATACGTTGTGTATAGAAAGAAATAGAAGAGGGGTGTTTGAGTAAGATATATAGAGATAAATGCAGATATAGATCTTTCAATTGATAAATACCTGACTACTGGATTACTGCTCTAAGTTAAAAGTGAATTAAGAAATTAAAAGGGGGGCTTTATGTCTTTCCTTCTCTATTGGGGTGATATTTGAGGTTATAATTACTTTGATTAAGTATTGTGTATTGAATTAAGGAAATATAGTGATAAATAAGTTTTGATTACAATATTAAGAGATTAAGGGGAGTGTATATCTAGGTGATTATATATAAACGGAAATTAGATTCCCCCTTTTATTATAGATAAAAGGAAAAAAAGAATAAATTTAATACTTTGTGCATAAGGGAAGGCAGGAGGGCTTTGTCTGAATAGGATATTGTTAAATATATAGTGATATTGACTTTGAGATAGAGAAAAGGATAGCAAGTGGTGCTAATTCTATATAATTATAATTATAATAGAGATTTGAAAAGAAGAAGGAATAAATTGAAAGTAAGAGATTAGTTTAAAATATATTGTAAAGGAGATAATAAAATAGGTAGAAATAAATAGAGCTTGAAAATAAGACAAGTGCCATGACATCAGCCTGGAGAACGGCAAAGAAGACAACATCTAGTCCAACATTGACAATTACATCACCGGCCGGTCAAAAGGCAATTGAAAGAATGTTACGGGCAGAAAAACAAACTGTAGCCAATATGCAAACAAGACAGGCTTCTTTAATGACCATTCAAGAAACCATGCTTAAAATGCAAGAACAACAGATAAAAACGCAAGAGAATATTTCGCAAAATCATATGGAATTGAAAGAAAATATTAATAAATCAGAAGACAAAGTTGATACTATACAGCAAACAATGCAAAAGAACGAGCAGAAACTAGAAGAGGTGGAACTTAGAACAGTACAAAATGAAAAGAAACTGGAACTAATGGACAACAGGATGATGACAATAAATAAAAGATTAGAAGAACAGATTATGCACCTAGAGATGGACCGCGCTGCCTATTACTTGAGGTTTCAAAATATCATTGAAAGTAGAGATGAAGATCTGAATGTGCTTATGGCAGAATTACTTGCGCCAGCTTTACGAAGGGAGACCCGAGAGATCCTGCTAGAAATCGACGAGGCCTATAGAGTTCAAACGAGTTATGCTCAATGCAACAGGTTACCCAGGGAAGTCCACATGCGATTTGCCAGGAAACAAGTACGTGACATAATATGCAAGATAACGTGAGACGAACCTTTGGTTTATAAAGATAAAGAAGTGCAAACCCTGAAGCAGGTTCCCAAGAAGGTGCGTGAACAGAGAAAAGACTATAAGTTTTTGGCAACACAACTTATCCAGAAGAACATAATGTTTCTATGGTTAATTCCAGAAGGCTTGTTGGTAATATGTCAGGAAAAGAGGATCAGGATAGATAACTTAGACAAGACGCAAGATTTCTATGAGCAGATTAGAGGAACAGAAGAAGAAAGCAGTGGTAGAGAGGAGCTAGAGACAGAAAGCCAAGAAGAACAACAACAGCAAGATATAGGAGGCCTAGAACAAGAAGGAGAGAACAAGGAGGAGACGGAAGGAAGAAGATTAAGAACACGCCCGCAAAGAGAGACTAGAATTAACAGAAGACAGATAATATCCCACAAGTAGAAAGATGGAAACAGAAACGAAGCTATTATCATTAAACATAAATGGTCTAAACCAGTGATGGCTAACCTATGACACGCGTGTCACTCGTGACACGCTGAGGCACTTTGACTGACACGCCTGTTGATGTGGGGAAAACCTGCACATTTAGAGGCTGCCTGTGCTCTGCTCCAATCCCTGCTCCCTGCTTGTTGCGTGGAGGCGTGGTGTCACCGCTGCCACAAGATCTTTGTAGCAGAGAAACAGTTTTAACCGCCATAAACTGAGGTTTGTCAGTTTCATTACCTCAGGAACGCTACAGGACGAAAGGAGATCCATGAGGTTCACAGCCCTGTAAGGTGGCCTTCCGATCCCCACATCCTGCACCTGCAGCCCTGAGACCAGGGAGACGAGTTTCACAGCCCTGTGTGATCACCCCAGCCCAGTCCGTCATAAACCAAATTATTGATATTTCTTGAAGTGACACACGACCCGAGGAAGGCTACACTTTTTCCCGATTTTCGACACACCAAGCTGAAAAGGTTAGCCATCACTGGTCTAAACTCACCCATTAAAAGGAAACAGATACTATCTAGATTAGTCAAACAGAAATTAGAAATAGTATGCCTGCAAGAAGTTCATATTAAAAAACAATTCTGGAAATGTTTAGAATATCCTAAATTAGGAAGGTTATTTGTAGCCCTGGCAGATCAAAAACAGAAAGGGATAGCGGTATATGTTAAAAAAGAAATTAAAGTAGTAGAAAAATATGTAGACTCACAAGGTAGAATTTTGATACTTGAACTAGAATTAGGGTACAAGCCAATGTTATTAGTTACAGTTTATGCGCCGAATGACGACCAAAGTCAATTCTATAAGGAGAGAATCGTTGAGATGGGACAAGATAATGTATGCATTGTGGGAGATCTTAATGTGGTAGTAGATATAAGGAAGGATTATTTTAGTAATGCAAAGAACAAAAAGAAAAGGAAAAGTTTGCCCAGATCCTTTT